CCAGCATGCTTGGTTCCAGTGAGGATCTGGTCCTGGTTTGCAGCTGGCTGCTTTCTCACTCTGGAGGCTGGGGACAGGGGTGGGGTAGGGAGGAGGCCACTGTCTTGTTAGATTAGGGCCCCACCTTAGGACCTCATTCAAACTTCATCACCTGCTAAAGACCCCATGTGTAGATATAATCACATTGGGAGTTATGACTTCAACATATGAATATGGGGGAGACGAAATTAAGTCTGTAGCAACCCCAGAGCCTAGACATCAGTGGTATTAATAACTGGGGTCTTGGGGTGACCATGGCTTTGCTCTTGGATATTCCCTACAGGGCATGATGTTGAACTTTCTTTCCTTCAACCTCTGAACCTCTGCAGAAATTGTATTGGCTCTTTCTCCAGAATAGATTCTAAGTTGGCCAAGCTCCCCCTGTCCATTGCCTCTGGTCCAAGCCACCGACATTTTTTTTTAAAGATTTATTTATTCATGCATACAAGAACTGGGGTACAGGCCAGAGGCGCGGGAGGGTGAGAGGATTCACCAGAGACAGAGCGGGGAACAGAACAGGCAGACTGACTGAATTAGACTGCTGAGGGGAGCAGCGGGCGAGACAGGAGAGGTCTGCCGCGCCGTGTGGGATTCTTGCCGGCCAGCTGGACTGGGATTGAACCCGCACTGCAGAGACTGCGGACAGCTTCACAGTGCTGCGCTCAACCGCCTGCGCCACCACGGGAGGCCCTGCCACCGACATTTATTACCTTCACTTTCCCATCCTCCTCGTCTCCCTGATTCCACTACAGAATTTCTTTCTTTTTTTTTTTAAAGATTTGTTTCTTTATTTATACAAGCACTGGGTACAGTCAGAAGTGCGGGAGGGTGAGAGAATTCACCAGAGCCAAAGCAGGAAACAGAACAGGCAGACTGACGAAACACTGCTGAGGGGAGCAGCGGGTGGCAGGAGAGGTCTGCGCGCCATGTGGGACCCTCCTCTGGTGGCCGGGGAGCAGCCGGGGATGGAACCGGCGCCGCAGAGGCTGCGGGCAGCTTTGCAACCCAGCGCTCAACTGCTGCGCCACTGGGGAGGCCCTCCACTACAGAATTTCTGCACATAGTTCTAGAGCGATCTTGAACACAAAAGCCCGGTCCTGCCACCGCTCTGTCCAAAGCCCTCTACCCGCTCCCCGTTGCATTAGAATCACCCCAATTCACAGCCCCGGGGCCCTCCATGATGCACCGCTGGCCTGACCTGTGGCCCGCGCCATTTTCCCTGATGCTGCCTGATCTTTCAGTTCCTCAGATTTGCACCTTAGGGTATGTTGTTTCCTCTGCTTGCAAAATAAGCTTGTGTTCAGGTCTTGGCTCCCTGAGGGCATGGCTTCTGGGGCTGCTGCTGTCGCTTTCACTGCGTTTTCTCTAAGGTTCTTAGGGTTCTTCCCCTTTGAATGTGGCCTGGTGAGGCAGGCATCTCATTTTCTTGTATGCTGTTTCAGCACATCATCTTTTTTTTTTTTTTAAATATGTATATTTACATCATTGTTCTTTTTGTACAATGTATGTTTTCTCAAGTGTGGTCCCTGTAAAATTCCCACCACCAGTTCACCCGTAGCATAGCATCTTGAGCAGCATCTGGCTCAGGAAGAAGACTAGGTCAGATTTGGGTGGGTGGGACACACTCACAATGTCTTCAGAGGGGCCACCTCACCCCTGTCAGTGTTCAGGGTCATCCATTCTCCGCCCCCAACCACTCCAGCCCCCACATTGGGTAGTCAGTGACTCCATTGACGTCAGACCACTTTGCAGCTTCAAATCACGCCCAGTAGCTCCATGACTTTGCAAGGGTGCTTCCCACCTGCCTGAAATACTCCAATCAATATTTTCCAGAAGGTTCTCAAGATTCTGTTTGAAGAATCTTCCCATTCCCTTCCCCACCCCTAAGGTGGCATTTGTCTGCTGGGTGTCCGCTGAGACACACTTTCCCTCCTGGTGGTGAGTTGTCTTAGTAGTTGCTGAGAGAGGGCGTCACTGTTGTACCATTTCACCTTCCTTTTGGGTGCTCCCATTCCTTGCATGATCCAGACCCTAGAGCTGAACAGGAAGTGGGGCCATTGCATGTGCAGTGACTCTCTCCTTTTCTCCCCTCCACAATGTCACCCTCTCTGAGTAGCTGCTCCTTTTCCTGCGTTTCCGTAGCACTTGTCTGCATGGCTGTCATTGTACCAGAGTCTGCTCAGTTGTCCCTATGAATTCATTCATTCATTCATCCATTCACTCACTCACTCACTCACTCACTCACTCACTCACTCACTCACGCACTAAAGCATCCAGGATGTTCCAGCACTGGTAACTGCTCAGGGTGAGGGAGGATATCCAAGCTACAAAGGGGAGATGGGTGAGTTTGATTGAAGAATTTTCAAGAAGCACATAGATCACAACCCTAGTAAAAGGTATAAGATATTACTTCTAAGTCAAATTTTGTTTTGAGAAGTTCATGAAAGTTGAACATATGAAAATAATTAAAATATCCTGCAAAACAAGGGTGGGGCATCCCCACCCTGACCTCCAGCCATCGCCCTAGAACACTTTGATCAGGAGACACAGGCCACTGAGCAGAGTGTGGGGGACAAGCTGAGGGCTCTGCCCAGCCAGAGCCACCTGGGATGTCGAGAAGAGTTCTCAGGGGACACATGTGAGTGTGCTTAGGATGGGGGATTCTAGGGGGACCACCCACGTCCACCCGCAGAACTTAGGAGCCCCTGTTGTATGTACTCCCTGTCCGCTGGGCCTGGATGCTTCAGGGTCTTCTGGAATCCAATTACAATGGCTTTTGGAACCTCCCACAGGTGTTGTTCTGTCTCCTTGGAATGGTGCTCCCTTTTCCTCATTTCTTCCAAATGTATTGCTGTCCAGGAAGCCTCCCTGGCGTCCCCCCTCCCTCCTGGTGCTCGCTGGCTGCAGTCATTGCTCCAGGCTGGTGAATGCACAGAGGGGAGATTTGGGTCAGGGAGACCCAGGCCTCCCCAGCTGTCCTCTCAGGAAGTTGTGGAACTTCCGGCTCCAGTGCCGTGCAGACCGGAGATATGGACTTCTTCCCGGAGGGCTTATGTAAAGGCTGTTTATTATGCGCTTTCATTCCCCAGCTAGATTACAATCCCCTTGGGGTCACATAGAGCCCGGAACTGTGCTTACATCCAAGCTGTTAATAAATATTTGTGTTGGATTTGGGAACAGATAATAAATGTGAAGAGGAGTTGAAAAAGAGACATTTCTTTTATCCAGAATTTAACTTCTGGGAAAATTCATTTGAAGGACCAAATAAGTAACAATAGGCCAGGAAGTTGGTTTTTTTTTTTTTTTCTTTTGAGACAAAGAGTGATGAAGAATTTGAATCAGTTATGAAAATGCATTTTAGGCATTTTTAGCCACAAAATAGAGCAAGAAAACAAAACACAAAATCCAGAAGCAGCCATGCAGTAGCCCAGGCTCTACAGAAAATCGAGCTTGAGGATAAGATGAGTGCTGATGCTTTATTTGGGAAGTGCAAACTGTGGGCAGGGAGGGTGAGTGGGGAGGGAAGTGAGGCACGAGGGAAGGAAGTGGGGCTCGGTCTTGCACCTAGCTGTGCTGGCCAGGGAGACTCGGCAGGTGGCTCGGCAGGTGGCTCTGCTTGGCTCTGCTGTCTTCTCCAGATGGGCTGTGCACAGAAACTCTGTCTCAGAGCAGTTGCTGGGTGAGAGGGAAGAGGGAATTTGTGTGCCTGGCCCTCCTGTCTCCTGTTCCCCATTGGTCACCGTTCATTGCCTGCAGGGGCGTCTCCCATGTTTCTACCTGCCATGTTCCTACCTGGCATCTCATGGGTATCACTACTACTCTACCCAGAGGTGTTTCTTGCAAGTCTGCAGATGACCAGAGATGCCAGAGGCAGGAGGTGTGTAGCTGGCTGCTGGGGGCACAGTGGTGCCCAAGAGTGGAGTGTATTCAGAGGCGATTAGGGTTAGGGAGTTCAAATATCAGGGAGTGAGCAGTGCCATAAGATTTGGTAATCAAGCTAAATCACATTTTAATGTAATATGCAAACAACCAACATTAATGCAAAAGCTTGTGATGAGCAAAATAACAAAAATGTAAATAAAGACAAAATCCTAAAGGTCTGGGATTCAGTTGAAGCGAGAGAAGTGGCAATGCAGTCTTGGGTCCTGCCTTTTTTGGTTTGTGGGGACATTTTTGGACATATTAAGGTGGAGACGTGACACAGACAGCTAAGCGGTGGCAATGGGGCAGTGGGAATCAGTGTCTGGGCTTGTGGAGAGAAGTGCAGAGCAGACAGCAGAAGGCTGGTATTTGAAGCTGGGGACTGAGGGAGTACTGGAGTGTGATTGTAACTGGAGAAAAGACTGAACCCCATGCACCCCAAATATATCGAGTTTACTGAGAAGGAACTGCTTGGGGAGCTGCAAATACAAAAGTGGAAGGAGCACCCAGATCAGCACCAGGGTGCTCAGACGGACAGTGAAATCACGGTGGTTTCTTTCTGCCTCTCCTTATGTGCACATTTCTCGAGACTGAGCATCTATTACTTGTGCAATGAGAAAACTCTCCATATTTCCAAGATACTGTCATGTTGACGAGTAGATATGCAGAGAGGGAACGATCAGAAGAAGGAAATAGCTTTGTCAGGAGTGCTCAGTGCCGGCCACGCTGGGCTCTTCAGGGCCAGCCTGGCTGCTGCTCTTGCCGCCCCCTCCAGTAAGGGGCACTGGGACAGCTTTGCCGGATTTCTGGAGCTCTGAGATATCTTGAAACTCAGGGGTGCTGGTGTTGGGCTCTTCCCTAGTATGTGATTTCAGAACCAGAGCTTGGATTGGATGAGGGGGTTTGGGCTTTGATGGACTCTACTTTGAGGGTGGAGGTTGTCAGGGGAGTTGCTGCAAAACCAATGCTGATGTTATTTTGTATTTTTGCCTTTTGTTATAGCAAATCCATGTTGGATTTCTTTTGGTTAACAAAAACAGGTACTAATACAGGCCTTTGATGAACGTGAAGTGGTGTGACATGAACTTTGGAAAACGGAGGGGCCAGTACTTGAAGGAGGAAGACGTGGTTGGCCAGGAGCGGTGGAGGATTGTCTTGAGCACATCCTATGAAGAGACCCCTTCCCAGGCTTGCTAAGGTGCCATGCTGAAATGGTGATAATGTGCTGAAGGAACATCTGAGAAAGACTGTGAAAGCACCAAGCACAGCGTGCAGAGAAGGCTGACAACGACTCAGGTGTCTCCTCTCCTGCCTCCCTGGCCCCACAAGTCTCTGTCCTCAGGGCAGGGGTGGGGTGGGGGGGCCGGGTCAGGCTGAGTCTGGGAGGGAGGCTGGGGTGGGGGCTGCCCACGTGATCATGCCCAGGGAAGTTGGGCATGAGGCTGCCAGGGAGAACCTGAAGGAGAGGAGAGCTGGGGGCAGAGTCTCAGGGAGTTCTCAGCTTTAGGAGGACTGAGAAGGGATTATCAGGGAGTGGGGAAGTGAAGCAGGGGTCCCCGTAAATCTAGTGAGGAGAATCAAGATGGCAAGGGGTAGAGCAGGGCATGGGGGTAGAGAGAAGGAAGTGCCTGGGGACAGAGGGACAGGGTGGGCACTGGGGAGCTGTTAGCCTCCCCCCTGCGCCTCATCTCCCCGTCTGGCCCAGGCAGCACTGAACGGAGCTCACCTGTGAGCTCTGACCACCTTTCTCTGCCCTTGGCACTGACGGGAGGACTCTGGGGATGTCAGCCAGGATCAGGAGTCTGGAGGCATGTCTGGTCTCCTCCCTAGTGTCTCTGGCCTCGGGCAGACATGGGGAAAGGGGTTATTCGAGTTCCATCATAGTCACCCCCTGATCCAGTCTCAGGGTGGGCTGCAGAGGGCCCCTCTTCCAGTGCCCTGACCACTTCCATGCCCTACCGGGGGGTCATAGCCAGCAGGTCTCAGCTGCCAGAGACCCACTGCCTCACCTGTACATGATCCTTTCTGCCTCACCTGTACATGAGCCTGAAACACCTTTTCCTTGTTTAACTTGGGGGCTCTGATGTCACCTGCCTACTGGGTGTCCCTGTTCCTCTCCATGGACCTCTGCCTGCCAGCGGTTATTAGGTAGCACCTGGACCTTCTCTCCTCCCTCTCCTAGGCCCCAGGATCATCCTCCTGGGAGAGAAGCTTTCAATCTTATCATGGTGGTAGTGAGAGGAAATGTTGGTGAATAGGGGAGTGGTGGGGTGCACTCTCCACCTGCCGCGGGAGATGAACCAAGGGGGCTGGAACTTAGCATCACTCCCGATGGAAGAAACTCCATCTAGTCAACCCTGGGAACACAGTTCATTTGGAGATCGTTAGTGGAGTCAGGATTTCCCTGCCCCTTGCCTCTGGCAAGGAAAGCTGACCAGGTAGCCTTTGCTACCATGATGTGTCTGCACCTGCCAGTACCTCACACTTGGCCAAGGGCTCTGCTCTGTGTGCTTTCTCTCCTGGCTCACCACACCTTCTTCTTCTTTTTTTTAAAGATTTATTTTATTTATTTATGCATATAAGAGCTGGGTACAGGCCAGAGGTGTGAGGGTGAGAGGATTCACCAGAGACAGAGTGGGAACGAAACAGGCAGACTGACTTAAACACACTGCTGAGGGGAGCAGTGGGCGGACGGGAGAGGTCTGCTGCGCCATGTGTGCATCTCCCTGGCTGGCCAGGAATCGAACCCGCGTTGCAGTGACTGCTGATAGCTTCATAGTGCTGAGACTTAACCCCTTGCGCCAACAGGGAGGCCCCCCTCACTGCATCTTCTTCCCGATGCTTGAGAGCATCTGGTGGTGTCCCTGTGTTGCCTGGGAGCCTCTGGAAGCCGGGAAGTGCTGGCCGTGACCTGCCTTCCCAGTCACACTTGCCCGTCTGTGGGTGCTGCGGGGACTTCTGCAGGGTTTTGGACCCACCAAGATGGAGCCAGATGGGCCCAGAGTCCTGCTCAGATGCCCACTTGGGCCCTGCACCCTGTGCTGTTGCCTCTCTGACTCTCCCCTCCCCTGCCCACCCTCCTCTCTCCTTTCCTCAGGTCAGTTTTGACTGGGTGATGAAATGCCTGGATGTCACATTACTCCTATTTTTTCCACCTACTTCTTAAGAGACTGCAGGGCAGGACTGTGGCGATTCTCTCCATCGGCAGGGCCTGCCCCCGGGTAGATCCTCACAGAGCTTGTTCTCTGTCCTCACAGTCTCATGCCTTCATCCGGGTCCCCAGTCTGGATGGATGCATATAACCAAGCCCAAGGTCACCAGGACCCCAGGCTCTTCTCCAACACTGACTGCTGACACAGAAGAGTCTTTCTTAGCTTTCTTTAGGCCTACCGAGGTGACCAAGAGAAACACCCCCAGAAGGATGTTTGAAGACAAGACTTGTTTGAAGACAAGACTTGATGCTGTCGTCCTCTCACTTTTTACGTCTGTGCAGCAACAGATGTGTAGCATGGAGCTGCTGTGCAGTGGGACTTGGCAGGAGGGTTTCTCCCCCACTGTGGAGCTCCTGCTCCTTGCTCCCCCCATGGTCCTCGGGTCCCAGAATCATGTGCCTCCAGTCACAGCCACGCCTCACTGAGGCAGGCAGGATTACAAAGGCAACAGCCAGTTCTTGTGTAAGCGAGAGGAACATCAGCTGGAGAACTGATCCTTTCTGTCTTTGGTTCTAGAAGTGTAAGTGACTAATAGAGAAAGCGTAAGGATAATAAAGAAGAAAGTTTTCCTGCCCACCTGGATGGGGTGATCCTTCTGGGGCCACCAGAAACATCCTTCTGGGGGTGTTTCTCTTGGTCACCTCGGTAGGCCTAAAGAAAGCTAAGAAAGACTCTTCTGTGTCAGCAGTCAGTGTTGGAGAAGAGCCTGGGGTCCTGGTGACCTTGGGCTTGGTTATATGCATCCATCCAGGTTGGGGACCCGGATGAAGGCATGAGACTGTGAGGACAGAGAACAAGCTCTGTGAGGATCTACCCAGGGGCAGGCCCTGCCGATGGAGAGAATCGCCACAGTCCTGCCCTGCAGTCTCTTAGATTCTTTCGGGGGCCAACTGCCTACGGGACAGTGTGATGGCACTCAGCCCATGTCTCGCAGCTCGCCTGCTGGGGTGGGTGGCTGGACTAGGACAGAGGAAGGGATGTAAACAAGGCATGCGCCTGAGAACAAAGGAGGGAAGTTTGATCTGCCAGGAAGAGGGTGGTGGGTAGTTCCTGTGAGCCTGGCGAGGAACACGCTGAGACTTGGGGGCCACTCTTCGTGCTGCCATTATGTGCACAATGTGGGCCCTGCAAGCCACCCCCACTTTCTGTGTCTTCTTGTCCCTGTCTATCAGGCTGATGATCGACTAGCCCAGATCCTGCAAACTCACCTGAGTGCAGGGAGCTGGGAGGGGCTGGCAAACTGGGCCCCGATGCTTGTTAAGTGGGGTGTCTGCACCTCACCTGGACAAAGTGAGAAAACTGGGGGCCTACTTGGCCAGATCCTCCAGTTTCCAAAGAAACTGGGAATTTGAAGGTTGTGAGAAATCTCTGATTTTTTAAGTGGCAAGTATTTGAAATAAAAAGAAGCAGCAGAGCGTGGGGTGAAACATGTCTGGGTCAGTCCGTCCTTGCTCTTCTGGGCTTCGACCCAGGGCCTGGGTGTTCTCTGTGAGCTTTCCCTACTTCGGTGGCCTGGAATTACTGTTAACCATGGTTCTTTGTGGTGCAGAAAGACTGCCAATGGGTCAAAATGCATTCCAAGGCATCATAAAAGCCTAGGTTGGGGCGCTTGTGTGACTACCATGGACCCCAGGAAACCGATCAACAGTCCTGACATCCCCCTTCCCTCATCTGGTAGCTCCACCAAAGGTCAAGTTCCTTCATCCTTTGTTCATTATTCAACAAATCATTATTAAAGCCTATTAAATGGGGTCTCCCTGGTGGCGCAAGGAGTTAAGATGCAACCTATGAAGCTATTCGCAGCCATTGCAGCATGAGTTCAATCCCCGTCCAGGGAGCAACGCACATGGTGCAGCAGACCTCTTCTGACTGGCCCCCGGCTCCCCTCAGCAGTGTATTTCAGTCAGTCCACCTGTTCTGCCCCCTGCTGTCTCTGGTGAATCCTCTCACCCTCCTGTGCCTCTGGCCTGTACCCCAGCTCTTGTATAAATAAAAATAAAAATCTTTTAAAAAAAGCCTATTAAATGTATGTGCCAGACACATTGCAAATACAACATTTTAGAATTTTTAAAGATACTTTCCATAAGCAAGTTTGCAAAGCAGGAAAAAGCCCGGGTTCAAACTCCACAAGGTCACCTTAAGGTTGAGGAGCCCTTTGAAACCCCGCAGCTGCCTGGAGCCTGAAAGCCAACCCCATCCGGGCAGTGGCTTTTGAAAGTTCATGCTCTGCTCCTTGAGTTTGGAACCGCGTTCCTGTGGGCAGGGCCAAGTCCGCAGAGGGGTGAGGCTGAGGTGGTGGGGTGCCAGCGCCTGGCCATGCACCTGGCCATCCGCCCCTCGGAGCGGCCTCTGCCCAGGCTGCAAGCATTCATCACAGTCGGGTCCACAAATGTACTTAAGGAAGAAGGGATGATCTATTTTGTACACGCTCCTTAAAGGGATTCCATTTTAGCTCCAATTGTAATTTTTACCTTTTCCAGGGGAATTTATTGACACAGTGCCTAGCTCAGCCCTAGTTTTCGGCATCCTCCTTTTGTCTGCAAGCACACTCACCAGCCGCTTAATTTGTCATAGCCCTGGAGGTATCAGAACTAATGAGCTTTGTTTGAATAGACTTTTTCCAGTTCATCTAGCACACTTTGGGGTAATCACTCAGTTTCTGTTTGCTTCTGATCCGAGGCATTGTGGGAAATATAAGAAAATAATGGTTAAAAAAGCAGTATAAATTGGTAACAGCCACATTTTCTGCAAAGCCCTGAAGATGTTATTTTTTTAATTTCACCACTTATTGAAGTATTGAGAGGACTCTAAGTAGGACCATTACAATATAATATCAGAGCAGAATCTGATAAAACGCTATTTTTCAATTAGTCAGGAGTTTAGACTTTGCCTTCTTTAAGCAGTTCACAGCTAACAAATCTTTAAACAATCTAACCTCTTAAGGTTTGGAAGTGGACAGATAATAACCACGAACACATAACAGTGTGTCAGCACCGAGAATTTAAAAATCTATTACGGGGATTGCATACAGGACTGCTTTTTATTGGTTGCACAATTGCATTTTCATTTTTCTACAGCTGATCCTCATAGTCCCCGTTACAACACCAAGCACGTGGTTGAATGTCTAGGAGACGAGGCTTCAGAACAGGTACTGCGTGCCCAGTGTGTAGGGCTGGGGGTATCTGCTTTTAACCCCCACTTGCTTGGGAGCGTCGTCATGTGTGTCACCTCGGTGGGCAACTGTGTCAAGGCTGGGCCTTCTTGTGTTGCCGATAGCTGGGCATTTTCCCAGGGGGTAGAGATGTGCTTTTAAGGATTGCTGAGATCTGTGAAATGGGTCCAAACCACTGTTTCCTCTGACTTCCGGTCTGGGATGGGGGCTTCTACAAAATAAGGTGGGTAAGAGAAGCCCCTCCCATTTTGGGGGTGGCCTCCTGCAGATTTCTGAAATGAAATCAGAAAAGCACCCTACACCCCTCCAAAGATGTGGCCTGGCTTTTCCTAATGGGCAGGGGAGGGGAGAGGAGGCCACTGCCGGAGCAGAACAAGTTGGGGCAGTGACAGGTGGTTCTGGGCAGGGAAAGATGGGCAGCGCGCTAGGGGCTCACCTACCTGGGCAGCTGTTCTAGACGGACTCGCAGTTACTCAGCATCAGCGTCCCTGTGGGCTGGGCAATGTTCTTTAGCTTCCTTTTGCAAATGAGGAAATCAGGGTTCTGAGCTCTTAGACAACCCCGCCCCCCGCATCTCCCTCTCCACCCGTCACAAGATGGTGAGTGAAAGGGGCCACGGTTGAAGCCAGCTCATTCTCCTCAGTGTCCTCCCTGATTGTACCTGCTGGGTCAGGAAGCATCACCACCAGCAGCTGCAGCCACAACAGACTCTTAACAGTGCCTGTGGGATCCAAGTCTCCAGGGCAGGCTTGGCGGGCTGTTGGGAGGTGAGGAAGAGGCCCTGACCTCTGGGGATCCAGTTCCGAGGACAGAGCAGATGCTAACAGTACAGGAAGCATGAGAGAACGTTGGTTTACATCGTTGTTTGTGTTTTCGATAAATGTTTGGGACATCCCCCCAGCTCCCCGCCCGCTTATTGCCATAGCGTACCCACCTTCAAAGTACCCGTGATCTACCCCCTTAGTCCATTGTGATCCCTTCTCTCTTTGTCCTTGCCCATCCCCGCACCCCCGACCCCTCCCGCCCAGGTTGCCTCAGCTCTATAATCAGCTTTCAAGGGGTAGTTTTTTAGTTTGGCTTTATCTGCCTCTTTAGTTTCTTTACATCCCACATATAAGTGAAACCATCCAGTGTGTGTCTTTCTCCTTCGGACTTACTTCACTTAGCATAATCCCTCTCAGCTCCGTCCATGCTGCTGCAAAGTGCCAGAGTTGGTCTGTTTTGGTCGCTCAGTAGTATTCCATTGTGTTCCCTCAAAAAAAAATAAAAGTAAACTTTATTTGCCTTGGTCTATAATTAATGCAAATTTATTATTAATGCAAATAATAAAACTAAAAGAAACATGAAATATGTTAAAAGGTTGGCAAAACTCAGTTTGATGTTTATCAGAAGAAAAAAGAACCCACAAATACTTTACTATAAACTATAATATTTGAATTAAAAAGAAATTAAATTTAATTCAGGAAAAATGACTCAAGATCTAGCTTTTTAAATTAGTTTATCTTTGTCATCTATGGAAAGCTAATATTTCTCTTTCTTCCCCTAAATAAAAACCCTGGACTTTCGGTAAAAAGAAAAAAAGAAGCATAAGTGCAGGCAGGGGTGGGTGGAGGACGAGGAGTCCAGTCCGAGCAGAGGAGTGCCACTAGCCTGGAGCAGGGGTAGCTGCTCAGACCCTGGGACCTGGCTCCCCTCCACAGCCCCAGGCTGGGGGGCTCTGTCCTTGGAGGAGCACCTACAGTGGCTAAGGACTGGCGCTGGAGAATCCACCTGGGAAGTCCTGGGTGAGAAGGTTGGGTCCGGGGCTGCCAGGGAGGGGCGGTGGGCAATTCTCTGGAACCAGAATAGCCAGGCAGAGATCTGGGAAGGTGTGCATTGTAACTGCTGGATGGAGTCCCCGCTTCTGTACATGGGCTCTCATCTTCCAGCATAAGAGAGAACAGGGGCTCAGGGAGCACCTCTCCTCCTCTGTCCACTTCCACAATTGCTGGGCCTCTGATCTGAGCCTTTTATTTATGCCAACTTACAGAACTTCTCTCTCACCTTGTACGGACTGGGAGTGAACTGTTTAATAATCACAGTGCTTATTACTGAAGTCACAGTTATCCATGGTGTTTCTGTTTTAAAGGAAAAAGGAAATAACATAAGGAAAATTTTCACATTGGGAATATTCTCAGCTTGCTTCTTTAAGTGAATATCAAAAACTGGGGTAAGGTGAACAAGTCCATGCTTCGATGGTTCCTGGCCAGCATCTCAGCAGGGACCCCTGACACAGGCGTGGTGCCTTCGGCTTTCCAGAGGCTGTTACTTGACATCCTCTCTTTTGAGCCTCTAAACCAGCCTGTGAGAGAGATGGAAGGGGGATTATTTAACTTCCATTTTACAGTTGAAAAGCCAAGACCGAAGGAGGGAATTATCCGAGGTCACTTGCTGAGTAGGGACTTCCTGACGAATTTTCTGGTCCCCTGATCACCTGGCCCCCGATCCTGACACATCATCAGCAGTAGCCCACCCACCCTGACCCTTGTATCATTCTCTTTTTTAATGAAACGCACTTGGCTTTTATTTAGCAATAGGACACATTGCTTTTGTCTACAAATGTTCTAGAAGACTAAGCTTTGGGTTGTGAGGTATCCAATAGCTGATTTGAGACAAAAATCATCCTATTTGCATTGTCACTGTCAGAGTCTCCCTGAAGTACACTGCCGAAGGTCAATGAAAAATACCCTGGGAAGTTTATCTCTGCGCGTCTTTCTAATTTAAATGGGACCTCCATTTTTCTGAATTTTTTTCAGAGATGACTATATATAGATATATACCCTCTAAACCATGATGCTTAGGAAAATTCTTCTGTAATTCGAAATTTGTTTCATCCATGTTGTCTGAGAAACCTGCGTGAGTTTCCCCCTTTTTAGCCCTGTGGAGGACTTGACATATCTCCATGCTTGCGGTGCCCTCTGACAAAACCATGTGTAGGGTGAATGTCATGGGGAGCTCTGGAAACACAGCCAGGCAGGGATGCCTTTGGACCTGAGGGCGGCTGACCTCTCCCCTTATCAGGACCTCTCTCAGGCAGCCCCTGTGAACATGGAGACGTGAAAGCGTCAGTTGAAGGGCTCCCTACTCTGGGGAAGAGAGAGTGAGCCCTAGATGAGCATTGTAGTGTCAGGTTATTCACTCACTTGATGAGTATCTTTCTGTAAGTCTCCACCTCTTTGATACTTCACTCCCTCATTGTATGGTCACCTCCCTGATACAGAAAGGTACAAATGTCCTTGAGGGTGAACTGGACACTGATCTCTTCTGCAACAGGAGAGTCTGGTCTTTTCCTGCTTCAGAGAGAATTTGGTTATTCAAGTTAATTTGCGGCATGCGGCCAGGAGTGGTATGTGGAGGTACCAATGTGAATGTGGTTGGTTCCAATTTCCTGTGATCAACAGAAAGATAGACATGCTGTTAATTTCACATAGTGAATTCTTGCAGCATAAATCATGTGAAGAGTGAAAGAATGCTATAGATAAATATTGCCCGAACTTACTCAAATTTGTGATATTATAAAAAATTATTTTCTAAGTTGTGAAACCCTGAGCTCTCTGATTCATAAATTCCCAAATCCAGTCCTTCTGTTTCCTCTTTAATACTTGGCATTTATGGAATATACTCATTCCAGAGAAGACAATATGAGTGTAAGGACAGTGGCTTATATGCTTCTGACTCAACTGTCATCTCATTTGACTGGCAAAACAACCCTGGTGGTGGCCTCAGCCTGGAACAGTGAACCTACCTGGATCCCTTCCCACTCAGCCACTTTGGGGTGCAGAAGCAAAAAGACCCCGATTGGGCCTTTTTCTACCTTTAAGAAGGTGAGATTCAAATTGCATAAGCACTGTAAGCAGTAGCTCTTCATTTTTAATTGTAGCCTGAGCCTTTGGGGGCCTGTTTCCCAGGACTGGGGAAGATGAGTAAGGATGGTGGCCCTCGCCTATGGGGCTTGATTTTCGGGCACCCCAGCCTCCTAGCCATTTCACCCCTTCACTCTCTCTGCACTGCAAATAGATTGGAAGCTCCTTGAGGTAGGCACCATACATACTGTTTTTCTCATGGCCCTCCCAAGGGCCTGCTCAATCATCTTGAAACTGTTCAAGTGAGTTTCTTAGAAAATGATAGTTCCACCAATTTCATTTCAAATGGGCATTGCATTGCATTCCGAATGGGAGTTTGGTGGCTCAAGGTTGACAGCGGTCATTGTGCATTGTCCATATGGCCATTTAACTCCTGCTTCAGAGTCCATATTCAGGCCACAAGTGCTCAGCCACAGGGTGGAGCATAAAGAATTTGATGCGGGAACAGGGGGCTATTCAGAGAATCACAAGTGTGTGTGGTGGCTGCTATGGCCTCCACAGGCAGGAGAGCTGGGTCAGAGAGGTGCAGGTGTGGGAGCTGAGGGTTTTCTTGCCAGTAATCAGCAAGAAGTTATCGGTTGCTCTGGGAGGTATTTGACAGGTGACTCAGCATGGCACCTTCTCTCCCCTCTCCTCACTGCAAGGGTTACTGATGGGCACTGGCAGGAGGTAACTTGAGGGCACCCCATGGTAGCTGAGCACATTTTTCTCTCTCTAATAGGTGCCACCGAATTGCTCACGGCAATGGCAATGGAAGTCCATCTAGACAGGGAATGCAACTCGGCCATCAGGAGCAGAGGTTGGGATCTGGGGTTTGCACACATCAGGTGCAGGGGGCGCCAGGGTCAGCACACTTGTGTGTAAGTCTTGAACTCCTAGCTTTTATTTTATTTTCTAAAAAGAGTTTATTTTTGTGTAGAAGACCGTGGGGGTGGGGGAGGGTTTGAGAGGAGTCACCAGAGACAGAGTGGGGAGAACAGGTGAATTGACTGAAATACACTGCTGAGGGGAGCAGCGGGTGAGACAGGAAAGGTCTGCTGAGCCATGTGGGTCAGCTCCCTGGCCAGGGATGGA